TCTAAAGGAAAAAAAATCGTGGAAATTAAGTAATGTTTTCTTCTAATGTATTTAACTCAGATTTAAGTGAACTTCACTCTATACCTGAAAAGCCCTTCAGAAACCAGGATTTCATATTGCCTGAACAAAACCAAGTAATTTCCCCCCCTTCTGCCTATCAAGCATCTGTTGGCATATGGTTTTACTTAAATAATGTTCAAGACTTACGAGGTCAGCATCACCTATTTTACTTACAATAAACCTCTGCTTTAGGGACATCAAGTCTAGACATACACTACTGACAGAAAATGGTGCCTCATAACAGCAAAAGTGTCAGAAGCTATATAAGTAATCACCAAAATAAAAGCCATTGATGCAGAATGAGCAAACACCTAAAGGAAGAGAAAGAAGCTGGGAACTGCTGTGGAATTTGACCTACAGAATTCAAAACAAAACCAAGAGCAAATGTACTTACAACCATTTTCAACTTTTAGTGCTAAACATGTCTGAAATATTTTTTTGACTCTGCTTTAGATGCTTAAATAAGCTTTTAAAAATTGACATACGTCATCTGAAGAACAGAATTTACAGTGTTCTCCAACACAATGTTAATAATAACGATTTTAATTTCTGTACAGTTTTGTAACAACCATTCTGTTCCACGCTATTTTACTTACCCGTTTATCAATGTCATTATGTTGGAGCTGGACAAAGCGAGCACTGATAGCAGCAATATAGCTCTGCTGGTTGGAGAAAGCCACTCTGCCAGCACCTTTTGGATACTTCAACTCTGGGTCTGTATCAATGCCAGCATAGCAGACACCTCCATATAAACGGTCCATAATCATTGCCAATTCAACTGCAAGAAGTCAATTGTTAAATATAATAGATTTAACATAAGTAATAGTGTTGCATTTGGATTGTTGCATTTAAAAAAAGCACTATTTGCCTTAGCATACTTGTCCTGCAAAGTCTAAAACTGCAAACTGAAATGCTGGTTTTAACAGATTGAATTAACTCTACATGAATGATGGTAAAATATAAGGCAAAAAATAGAATCTGTAAAAAGAAACTTGGTGTGACTGAAGTGTGAAAAATATGCAGAGTTACACTGTTATATCAGGTATCAGATCAACTAGAATTTACAATACTATAAATTAAAACTCTGGTATCAGGCATCAGGTAGCTCCAGCCAGGCTTCTTAATGCTAGTTTGCATGTAAGATCACTTAGAGATATTTCTATATTTAGAATCTGATATTTTGCCCCAAGTACTAACGTTCAAAAGACATTAAAGAGGTGTTTTACATTTGAAACAAAAATTTGTGAAACATCTGAAGTTACTGCAGGTAAAGCAAGCCTACATTTTCGGTGCAACTTAAATTAGTATTTTGGTGGAACATTATCTTGCTCATGGATCTTTTAAAATGGTTTGTTGCTTTTTCTGATACTAAGAATAACTGTAAAGAAGTCAGAAATATCATTCATAAAATAAGACAGGTTGAGTGCATGGCTGAGGAAACATACAGAAGGAAAGTTAAGGGAAAGAACTGAAGGAAGTGAAAGAGAGGCTGAAGAAAGCAGAGAAAGGCATGTGAACTGTGCAAGGACGTATGGTCACTGAGCCAAGTTCACTGTCTGTAAAAGCTCACAGGCAAAGAAATTTGTCAGATGGACAACACAAAATACTGGGACCTGTACGGGCCTTGCCAAGTCAGCCATCTTCTAGTGCTAATGTGTGAAAACACTTTCTGTAGTGAGTTACAATTTAGCTACGCAAAATAAAATGAAAAAAACTCCTCCCTAAATATTTAAATCCTTGTAGTTCTCACAAAATTCTGACTAGTAAATTATACATAGAATAGAGACAATTTTAAATTGAGTAGGTATCTGTGTTTGTATAAATTTGTATGTGACTCATTCTATCAAACCAGGTAATACTCTTGCTCCAAACAGTAAGGAAAAACTATAAGCACAATGTAGTCACTAGTAGATTCTTCTGCTTTCTAATGATTTGGAATCATCATGTGGGTAGTGATCTCAGAAAATGACAGTACAGAATAAACATCAGGAACACTTAAAGACATTTACAACAGTAGTTCCACTAAGTTACTCTTGCCAATGGACAAAGAATACACAGGATTCCAGGGCAAGGAGACCATGCAGTGCTCAGATATCTTAGGAAAAACTTCTGTACCAGATCTTTAAAGCAAACAAGAAAAACTGGAAACTGTTTGGCTGCTTTGGAGAAGTTAACTATTTAAAGGCATTAGTTTTCAAATGTAACGCATTTCAAATGTGATCTATGACAGGCCAAATGACATACAGTTTTTTAAAGGCTAACATTAGAAATGAGGTAATGTTTAATTGTTACTATTTACATAATTACCATCTTACAACTCTGCCTTATTTTAAGATGCAGAGGGAAGTGAAAGCTGCCAAGAAACCTGGACCAGGAGAAATCTTACTGTCTGCAGTGGCTGGGGGACCTTGTGTACAGCTTCCCTAAAGACTTAGGATTAGGCAAAAGGTAAAGTGAGGAGTTTAAATTCTACTGGGCTGGAAAGCAGCTGCCAAAGGAAAGTGAGGGCTACAAGGAAACCTGATTCAGAAGTCTTTCTTCCAGACAGTGACTAAGAGGTCTTGTCTACTACAGTCCTGGAAAATGAGGACTAGGATTGAGCGGGTGAAAAAGAGAAACCATGCAGCTGCCTTGGAGTGAGCATGGAGAGGGACTACTAAACAGAAGTGAGGGCTGCCAAAAGATCTAGTCAGGAGAAATGTCTTGACTTGTTTCATGACTTTGTCATTGGCTCACCAGAAACGTAAGGGTTAGGAAGAAAGAAACGAGTGTCGAGCTACAGTTGGGAGTGGTGCTGAAAGGGGCCTTCAAAACAAAATGGGGGCTGCCAGGAGATCTGAGCTGGGATAAATCTTTCCTCTGGCCAAAGGCTAAGGAGTCTTGTCTATGGCTCTGCAAATAAAAGTGAAGAAAAAGAGTTAAGGGTGAAGAAAAAGAAAACAGAGGGAAAAAAACTACATTAGGAAAGAGTCTGGAAAATGGTCTTCAGTGTGGGGCCACCAAGAGACCTGGTTGGAAGAAATTTTTTTTTCAGGACAATAGCTGAGAGGCCTTGTCCATAGCTCCATGAAAAAATTAGGGTAAGGGTTGAATAAATGGGAAAGAGTTGACGTTGGAATTGGTTTGGAAAGAGTCTGGGAGAAGTTTGTCTTCTAGTCAAAGGAAAGGGGAAATTGTCTGCATCTCAGCAAACAAATGCAGGGTTAGGATTAAGACAGTCTACATTACAAAAAATCAGACTAGTTCTAGGGTATTATGCAAAGATGGGGAAAACTGTTTCTACTGGCAATCCTCATTAGTAACCTACTTAAAAGGTAAAAAATGTTCATGGTTTGCATTCTGCAGACAGGAAGAGACCCCTTGACTTACAAACCAAGCTGTGATCTGTGGAAAAGACACGGTGTATCTTCTGTTCTTTTACACATCTTTTCTACTTAATCTGGACCCCCCTACTACATACCCACATTTTCCTTCTACTCACCAGCTCGGAGGGGCCGTGGAACTCCTCCAACAAAGATTGTTTTTCTTGGATCCAAAGGCTGAGACCCATCCATCACAAAGTCACTGTCACTTAGGTTCCAAGGTCGAATTTGCACCTGTATTAAGGATGGTTTTTAGTCGAGGAACTTGGTCACTTAATTAAGAAACTGCCAAATCCTTCTACAATTAAAACCAAAATTTTAATTTCGTGAAGCCAGTAAATCGGTGGCATGAGCACCAAAACAATGTGAGAACATTGCTTATATAAGTGTCCAAAAAAAGGTGGACAACGCATTTACCACCTCTAGAGGCCAGGCTTGAGTTAAATTTCACCATTGCAAACCCTACCCTAATTAATACCCTGCCCCTAATCGCCATTATAGTAAGAAATCTGTGAAAGGTCTTTCAGAACATTTTACCATCTATCTGCAATTATGGTTGCAGTTTGGACTTCTGGCTTTCCTGAAATCGTATCCAGTGATCTACAAATTTTAAAGCACTGATAGGAGGGGAGATAAAATTAATTTCAGCGCTTGGATACAAAAGGAGTCTGTATAATGTGTGAATGCCTACTTCTATTGAGCAACAAGCAACACAGTTGATAAGAAATCTTCAGACTGTACAGAAAAAAAACTGCTCAGAAGTTATTTAGATAGAGCTGTTCATCAATCCATTTTTTTTGATTCTAGAAATCACACAAGCCCACTCACTGTGCTGTAATCTTGGGTTGTTCATTCATCTGTGTAAGATTTTCAATATTGATTTTAAAAGGCAGCATGTTTTTTATCTTATCTTACTTGTCTGTAGTTTTCATCTAATCTGTATACATCCACAGGCAAAAAAAAAGACTAACATTAAAGAATGTTGGAGATGTGAACAATAAAAACAGGTCTTCTATTCTGCTATAGCTGTCTGCAGTACTTGATTTTACCCTGCAGTTTCTATAAGGTAAATGAGGCCTAAATTATAAACTGATTAGCTATTGCATGCATAAAAAAATAATAATTAAGAAACCCAACGAAGTACAGAGGATATTTGATGCTTTCTGGATTTTAATTTGGCAGGGTTAAGTTTCTTCCCTTCACCGCAAAAAGCTTTTTTTTCTCTCAAATAACATAGCCAGAAAGTTACAATTCCATTGTTTTACAGCTAACATTCTAAAAGAATGCATTCTCCTTCTAGATACTAGAGTACCAAATATAAAAATTAAATGAACAGAAAAAAGCAAATGTTGAAGCCGTGTTACACTGATACAGAAAGTCAATTCAACGAAACAGCAAGGGCAGAAACAGGAAGTGACAAGTAATTAACTGTATTTTTTTATTTATTTATTAACTGAAAAGAGTAACAGCAAATGTGTTAGCACAACCAGCATAAGGGTCATGGCATAAGCTACTTACTGGTTTATCCTTGATTGTGGGACTTGACACACATAGGTAAAGTTTCCCATCTTCTTCCAGACAGGCATCTATCAGAGCTTGTACAGAGCTTTCTTCCTGAAACAGTAGAAAGGCGTAACCTTGGAAAGGGTAAGGGAACAAGAAAGAAAAATAACAGATTAATTTATAAAGCAGGGTTTTTTAATAAACAAACCCAAGAAGTGGATAAGATCTACAAATTACAAATAAGTTGTTAAGGCTGTTAGTTTGTTTTCATAAATTAAATTCACCGAATATATCATACCCTCATACAGTACTGATTTCAGAATGGAGACTAGTGTTTGCTGCATGTGAGGATGTTTATTTGATTAATTAATGATTTTGAGCAGTGAGAATATAGGCTGGTGAATAAGGGTTTCTTACTATCCAACAACTGTATTGGAGCTATTTCTCAGTGGTATCTGCTGATATCAGTGATTATATTATCTTACAATGGAGGCACCAAATTTCTGCTTACTATATACAATTAATAAATTCTAGAAGAAAGGGTTAATTCTAGAAGAAAATGGTCAGGTAAACAGAAAAACAGACTTTTATGCTTACATACTTAACTATGAAAAAATGCTCCCCTAAAAACAATAAACTCGAGAGAAAAAGAACGTGTTGTGGTTTTTCATGAGTAAAGACCCGTTGTTGTTGTTGTTTATACTTAAATAAAGCAGTTCAAAAGAAAGAAGTCCACTAAAATTGTTCATGTGATTCAGAATTTTAAGACTTTAAATGAGCCAGTAAAATTAAGTGTGTGTAGCACTCTGCTCTTCTGAATGCAGCTGCCAAGAAAACTTTGAGTTTTACTTCACGTTGTTAAATTTGAATGAAGATTTGACTCAAGCAGCCTATGCTGATACCTCAGAAGCAACAACTAATACAGCACCCCCTGCCCTGAGCAAAGGTAGGTAAGGACTGGCTGCTGACTGGAATAGAGCTGCCTGGTTGAGAGGATCTCCTACGGAGCGAGCAGTGCTCCTTTGCTCCACCATCAGTACAATGCAGTTTTCTCACTCAGTGTGAACATGCTGGCTGTGATCGTTATAATCTGCCACTTGTGTGTCTTACAGAACACGTCTTTGAAAAAATCCTCAGCAACCAGAGGCAGCTGGAGTTTAAGCAGGGACTGCTAGACTTCCTCTGCCTAAGATTCTTGACACAAACTAAGCACATACACGATGACACATCATATATAAGTATCAAACAAAGCCATACAGAGTCTATTTGCCATTAATATAGTACTGACTTACCCTAATTTTTTATGAGTATTGAGTGAAAACTGTTTGACATGCCCTTTTTAGATAAATACTACACAACTCTGATTTATAAAAAAATTCAGTACAGACACTGAAAAAGTGTTTTATTCTGTCGAGTTATCTACCAAACTACCTCTTACCCTACTGTCCCTACTCCTGTGTGACTTCTCAAAGAATATTAAATTCTATGCAGCTGTTTGCTTTTAGAGGCCAAAAAAAGTTTGCATTAACATCATTATAGCCCAAAACACATCTAGAAACACTAACTTGCCCAAGAAAACAAAACAGTTTGATCATCACTCTTGCTAGCAAACAAGGAGCTTGCATAGCTAGAGTTGGAGTAGATTAAAGATACTAGTTCCAACAAAAAGTGAAATACTTCTTGAGTAAAAACATCTGTTTCCTTTACAGCAGAAATATTTCTCTTAAAACAGACCCTTAAAGATATAAACATGCTTCAACATTCCAGTTTTAGATTTTACAAAATTAATTAGAGTATGAAAATAATCTCCTTGCAATCACTATCACTTTTAGCTTCATTTTATTTCCATCCATGCAGTCATTATATCTACCTCCATTCCATCCCTTCTGATTACATGTAATAATTACAGCTTCATACAAAATTAACTTCATACAAATTAAAGTATCTTTAATTTAGCAGTTCTTTCAGTTTTATAAAATGTCCCAGTCAAAAACGTAGATACTTGGAAAAGACTACACGGCAATTACGACTCCAAAGCCAAATGATCACAATTTAGGCCTCAGCCCAATCCTTGCCTTCTATTTTAGATAAATGCCTCATGAGACAAATTCACAGAAAATGCAGTGTAGATCATTCCAGTACTATGAAAAAACTAAGTAAGAATACATGTACATTTATGCATACTTTAAAAGAATGGTTTACAACACATTTAAATAGATGTAAACATTTATCTGCTGGCCACGCCATAAATTTTGAACTCTAAAAGAGAGAATTTTGTCCATTTTGGACTTTTATAATCTTAAACCAGCAAAATATTGGAGATTTCTCTAGCATAAAGTCAAAATGAAAATTGGAAAGTGTTTCTTATGACTTAATTATTTAGCAAAAATCTGGGCAACAGATTGGAGTGCAACCTTTACAATCTCAGGAAGCTTGTTCAGGGTTTTCTGGGTCATAGTAAGAGGTCACATCTGTGGTAGTTGGAGTTGACTGCCACTTGGGGGTACTGTAAATGGTATGATCATAATTTTCCAAAACAGTTAAAATTAACCAAATTAACCAAACAGATACTCCTAATTTCTCTAGACCTCTGTGATTAAAACCTTCCCCTGCATGCTGTGGGGTCCATGTGTGTCTGCTTAAGACACTGGTAAGCAGTTCATTCTGTTAATCTAGAAAAGCAAGCAGGCTGGATTAGCATGACAGGATGTCCAGCATTACTTCAAAACCTGGTGATAGCACATCTATTCCGATTATTCAAGGACTTCTGGTACTGAAGATTAACAAAGATTACACCAAAATGAAAAATAAATAAAGAACAGAACTTCTGATAATATTAGGATCACGTGGAGGTTGATATGGTCAAGAAAGATACCTGTTGAAGTTTAAGGTATTTTTACTCATTTTCCAGAAGCACATAGGGATGCAAAAACCTTACATTCAGAAAGGTGCAGGTCATTCTCATGAGCAGTTCTAGGTGTTGCTGTTACTGAAGAGTCACCCTCTTCCTCACAATACCACTGTTTAGAGCTGCACTCTAAAGCAGGAGATACACTTTGAACTCAGATTCCAGTATAAAAAAATTTTGGGAAAATACCCATGCCAAAATTGACATTGCACAAAGAATTATCTCACACTATGTGCAGTTTAATAATTAAATAACTTTGTTTGTACAGGAGCAAAGCACTTCAGCCAAAATTTAAATTAAAACCAGCATGCCAATCTGTAAATTAACAGTAACTAATTTTCTTTTTTCTGTATTTAAATCTTAAGTTTGGCTATAAATTTATAAAACTTTAAGAGTATTTCTTCCTGAAGAGATTCTCAAACTGTCTACTTCAGGCATTATATCCTGTCCTACAGCTTCTATTTCTATTCCTATTTCTGTTACACACAGTGAGACCTTAGCCTAATCCCCTCAAAGCTGTACTGCATGGCCAGCTGACTTCTAAAATTCAGAATAGTCAGTTATAAGGACATCTATATTTAAAAAAAAATAATGTTTAAAGACAGTAGGTGAGGTAGAATTAATAAGATGATCAACCTAAAAACCAAAAATGTATTAATCCAAATAATTAGAATTATTTAGCAGATGCTAAAAGTTGCTTCAGATTCCCCAGCCTCATGTCCTTCAGCACATTCTCCCATCTGTACTTCATGTATAATATCATATCACTTAATGCACATGTTTTTTCCCAAGAAGTTAAGAGATTTGATGAATCTCAAAATTTTAATACTCTACAGCAGAACTGTGGTAGCACACTGTGGTGGTACGTTGCAGGCAAACTTCAGCAGTGCTCCTTTCTTACCTTGCCAGACGTTCTAAAGGTTTGAGGGCTCAAGGGACTTATCCTGACTCAGATTCCACAAAGTAAAACAGGCAAGATATTTGAGGCCTCAGAAAATAGCAAGCTACCTGACAACAGCTGAATATTCTATATACACAGATAAATAGCTTCTTGGAAGAGCAGAAACAATCCAGCTCTTCCTCTCCTGCTGGTACAATACATCACTGTAGTGCTGACAATAAACATTGCACCTTTCAATTCTCTGGGAAAAGGCAACAACATATTTTGATGTTACAAAAGTCACTATAACTTTTCAAAGGGTACAGCAGAGGGAGGATGAGAAGAAAATTAATTTCCCTATGTTCTGAAGCAGAACCTAGGAGCTCCTCAACCTTGAGCTCCAGGATTCATTATTTTATGGAAAGAAGTACAAGAACTAAGCTCCTTTGTACATGTCCCATTCTGACATCTAAACAGTGACACAATTTTCATATGAAAGGATAATTTAGTCCAGTTGGTCTAATTTCACTTAACCTTGCTGAGAACAAACTGGAAAATCTGGCATATGCGCTGTGTCCCACAAGCTTGAAACCAGGTTGTCACTTGAAATGCAAAATATATTTGGAATAAAACAAAATTGTTATAGTCTGGTAAATGCGTTTTTGCCAGCCTAGTTAGCCTGGAAAAATCCTTATTTTAATTAATTTCAACATAGACATATCTTCTCTAATGATGGGAGCCTTTCTGTATTACTGAAAGTACAATCTGTAATAAGGCCTCAGCAACCTCTTCAAAAGAACTAGATAGAAAGCTTATTAAGATGTTTTTCCTGCCTTTCTTATAATAGCAGATTAATGATATTCATACTATTGATATTCACACTTTTATGTTAAAAACTGGCGTGTTGGTACAAATTACAGGCAGTTAGCAGTGCATCATGCACGTGTTCTGCCCATTCCTCCTGAACATAATCAAAAAGAACTACTTTATTAGGGGAGAACGTGCATTATGTGTGTCAGGCATATGAGAGAAAACAAACTTATGGGCCTCGTAGACACCATTCAATTTAGCAAGCCATAGCTGGTAGAGTTTATCAGAAAAGACTATTCTCTTGTCTAAAGCAAAATATTTCTCAGATTATCCAACTTCATGCCTGTCATGGTTCACCAAGAAAAGACGGACTGTACTTCAGTGCATTCATGAAGAAAAGATGTTAAAATAATAATAAAAAAAGGCTTTTTTATAATCTTCTAAACCTGGTAACACCTTCTCAACTCCATTGTTAGGCACAGTTTGGTGGAGTAAAAGGAAATCACTGGTTGCATTTTGTAACCCATACGAGATGGAGGGAAAGAT